CAGGGATTATTATCTCATAGAAGTTGCATGCCCCCACTACACTCGAAGGTATGATCAGGATCACGGTGGTAGATCATCGTGAATTATTTTTCGTGACAAATGTTCAAGGATTTGCTCGCCGCAACATCGTGACAGACGCCTGTAGCTCAGAGCTCCTCCTCATAGTCGGTTGTTCAGAGAAAGCAACACGTAACTGGCGCTCCAAATAAGCAAGTCACAAAAAAAATGACGCACCAAATGAAATCTCGATTTGTCACTCTTGTCGTCCATTCGTCGATCTAAAGGCTAGCGCATGCATGCATGCATGGTAATTAAAGAGGCAAGGCAAGCGACGTACAAGCAACAGGCATTTAGGAATGATGAAGACACATGCAACATAGCAGAGATGATTCAATCTCAGCAGAGATGAAAAAAAGAAAGACTTCATTTCTTACAAGCAACAGTCTAGCGATTAGCGACATCTCTAGCTTGTCAACAAAAGACCATCTAACTCTGTCCATACCACCACCCATTAAAAAGGTTAGTAACATTAGTAGATCATCTCATACCTACTAATGGCGGACAACACCTGCAGCTAGGAGATTTGTGGCAACGGCAGTTGTTCCACTGCGCAAGATATATCAGTCGAGCCTACACCGCAGCAACCGTCGAACTGAATACATTGACCCCATCCTACCTATCAAATACTCCCTCCGTTCCTTAATATAAGCCATATAGATTTCTAAAGAAAATTCCAAAATATAGCACATGCCCCAACCAATCCCTTAGATTTAGGAAATTTTTTTCTTAACAGAACGATTGATACTCCGTAGCTTTGTTTCTATGTACATATGCATTCCATGCATCTGAGTCTGGCACGTGCAGTAGCTTTGTTTCTCTCCCTCTCTTTCACGCCAGACTCCATGGACAACTGCAACTCATCTTCCATGCCCAAGGAGAAGACAAAGCAAGTGATCTCGCCCAATGGACAAGGACACAAAGACGGCGACCTCGCTTCCCATGCTGAAGGAGGAGATCAAGCTGGTGCCATGTGTCGTCTTCAATTGCCTGGAACGAAGACCGACTTCTCGCATTGGTTCAGAGAGATGGCAAAGTATGAGTGTTCCGGGTGCGGCGAGATGCGCGCTATGTTTGAGCCACCCTCGGATGGATCTTCAACGAACAACTATGTCGGTAGCGATGAAGAAGACCATGGGAGCGACCCGGAAAGAGCATGTACTTGGAATTGATCAATTGATCGATTAGCATGAATAATTATTTTTACCCCTTGTCGTTTCATCCTTTTGATCATTTTGAGCATGTACGAGTACTCCTTTTGATCAATTAAACTTGTACGACTACTACTAGTACCAATAAATGATCCATGCATGTACGAGTTGTAGTACTAGTTCCAAAATGAATAAACTCACGGTGTAGCTTGTCCATTATTTTCGCAAGAAATTTTACATCGAGTTCAGGACTAAATAAAGCCATCAGACCTGAATGGAAAACTAGGAGTTCAACACAAGAATAAAGGCCTAGTCTGATTACATAAACTAAGCGTCCGGCAAAAATTCAATGGCATCTCTAACAACAGTAGCAGCGCATTCTAATGCCGCCGGGAGAGCACCGAGCCTCTCTAGCACAGCCTTCCACATGTGCGGAACTTTGTAGCGGTTGCCTCCCAGTTGCTTTAACACTTCGCGCATGCATGCTTGCAAGGTGAGGAATATTCTATTGCTGCGCTCAGCTGGGTACTCGTCAAAGGCATGTTGCACCTTCATCACAATGTCTTCAATAGAACCTGCACAAATAGTCAAAAATCAGCACAACTCACAAGTAAACATATTTCAAGTACGCCTGATTGAACAATTACCTGGAGACAACTTGTGGAAAAGTGATTGAAGCGCTGCAAAAAAAACCTAAATCTAGAATATTTAGGTCTGGAGAGTTAGGAGGCTGAAGGGTGAGACGGATGTCCCACCCTTCAGCTTGAGCCGCAACGACAAACTCCGGGTCATCCACAGGGATATGCGTCTTCGCATTATCCTGTTGGATGTATATCGGCATGCCACACTCGGCCGCAGGCCATCTCGCCCTTATGGCAGGAAGCAGAAAATTTATCATGTACTCCCGACTTACATCTTGAGTAACAGCGGGGAGTACTTTAGTGACCTATGCAATGAAATTAAGCACCATGTCAATAAAAATGAATTACTCATCATGAACAATAAATTAAACTTGGTACCATGGTCCTGCATCTCTGTTCTTTCTCTTCCTCTTTGCTGCTTCTTTGTATGTGAATGGCCAAATTCCTTGTTTTCCATCGAAGATCACCGTGCCGTTAGCATCAAAGCGTGGGCGAGCCACCGCAGCCAAAAACATCACCTACACAACGAAGCCATTATTAACAATTCATTTAAATTATAATCAAGCGAATATTGAAATTTAAAAAATCCATTGCTCACCTTTTCAATGAAGTTTTTGCTTTGGGTACTACGATATGGCTCCTCTTCGCCAGGCGCCAAATAGTAATTCTGGCAACCGCGCGAGCGGTAAAACCATTTCTCGTCGATATGAATGACGTTGTACATCACTTTAAATTTCGGATCGTGCGGGACAGTATGCTCGTCAAGCATTGACAAGCAAAACCTTACCCGACCTACCTTGTTATCATCTGTTAATGTTGACTTGATGGCGTTTGTGTGACGCCTCAACAAGCCCTCCTGCAAACGTCGCCATAACGTGGTCTTCGCCATGTTCAACTCATTTGCCAGATCCTTAAGAGTGGTTCTTTTCCTCAAGTCCACCTGTTTGATAACCTCCGGATCGAAGGCTATCCGCTTCCGCCCACAGTTTATTGACTTTTTGTTTTCCAGTCCGTGCATTCCACCGACATCCTTGCATTTCTTCCACCACTTCTGCAATGTCTGCACAGGTATGCCCGTTAGTACAGACACTCCTTGAGACACTCCTCGACTCAATACACCAGGAGCTGTCCTCTCTAGAAGCATTGTGTAGGCAGTTTGCTTCTCATGGAGTCGATACCACCTTCTTCTCCTCCTCAATGTACCGTTGGCACCTGCAGATTAAAGTGAAGATTAAAGTACTGTAAATTCATTACTGCTAGTTTTAAAAACGCAATGCAAATCAACCCAGGATGCAAGATGAATTTAAGCAACGTGTGAGTACAGCATGCAAGATGAATTTAAGGAACAAGATGCAAGATTACCAGTGGCTTCTCCGTTCTGCCTTCCTTCCTCATTGGCGCCTCCCTCGGGTTCAACTTCTACATGCTCGTCGTTGTCGCTGAGTCCTCTGCCTCCATTCGCACCTAAATTACGAATGAGTAAACCGTAAACATGGTCAGATTGCTACTCCTAGTCGTATACAGGTTACAAAGGATACATGGATACATGGACCATAAACAAGCACATGCAGACATCTAATCGTACCCATGATCTGAACAAAACATGCATCAACTCGAGTAGCAGATTACCTTGAATAGGAAGATGAGGAGGCCATCGTGTCACAGGTGCACGCCCACGGTTGCGACCTGTTAGTCCCAGGCGAGCTCACCCACGTAACTGCAGTGCGTCCTCCCTGCTGGCGCCCACGCCATGAGCGCCGACCATGGCGCTATTGACGATGGACCGCACCCGGTGCGCAAGACCATGGCGACCACCGAGCAGCGGGCCACCGAGTCCTTCGCGGACGTCAAGGACATGGCCGTGTCCGTGAAGTGCTTGTCCTGCGTCGCCATGACCACCTAGTCCGGCATGGCCGTCCCCTTCTTCTCCACCGTTGCCATACGACTCTGTCACTTCTACCTCTGTCAAGATAGCAAATCCGAATTATGCACAGATCGCGAAACAAATGAAGAATCTATTGCAGAAACGATGAATCAAAGTGGGAAAACCTGGTTCAAGCCACTCGTAGTCGTAGTTCAACTCGGCAGCATCCTCCTCTGCCTCGTCGCCGAGGGCATCCCAGTTGATCCACCCGAAGCGGCGACCAGCCATTAGAGATGTCGAGCTCGAGCGGGAGACTGGTGAGAAAGCGATGGGGAGGGGGAGAATTTATAGCTCTAGGGTCGCTGTTTATAAAACGAAAATTTCTGATCATTGGCGCCATTGTGATTCCCTCCTTTGCTGGAATTTTTGGATGAGCCAAAAACTTCCATCGCTTTTCAACTTGCTGAGGCTTTTCCCTCTGCATGCCGCGCGGGAGAGAGAGAGTAAAATACTCACATTCAAAATGATGCTCGTTGGTGTCGCTGAGTCCACTGCCTGTCCCGCGCTTCCCTCTGCATGCCACGTTGTCGCTCACGGAAAAGGTAGGCGGTGGGTCCAGCGATGAGGGAAACCAATTGGTGCGTTAATATTTCCCTTTTTTTCCTCATTTGCCAGATCCTTAAGAGAAGATGGCCTGATTTTCCTTTTTTTTCCTCGGTCACACATCCTTCCCCAAGCCGTGCGTTAATATTGGTGCTAAAAACTATATGGCTTATATTAAGGAACGGAGGGAGTACTAGTATACCCTTTGAATATTCAGAGTTAGTTCGTGACCCATAACTTAGGTTCCTCCAATTAGATTCTTTTAAATTGGTAACCATTAAGATCTAGACGAATGAATGACACTTATTATTTTCAAACACCGTAAAATTTCTCAAAGTTTTTTTTATCTTCAACCACCGGAACCGTCTAATAAAGTCGATGTTTTTGCTTTTTTTTTAAACAAAAAACTAAAGTCGATGTTGTCTTCTCCCGCTCAGCTCGCTACTATAGTGGTGCCATTGCCAAGTTGGCCTACCTGGTTCAGAGACTGTTTTCCCAGTGATGCAGACTACCTCAAGAAGAATCACTGAAACCAAACCCTTGGCCTATTTAAACCTCAACTAGAGACCTGCAGGCATCCTAGCTCCTTCCATAGTTTCATTCTTCATCCTCGCTTCACCTCCTTAGCACCGTTGCCATCCAAAAGAACAAAGCGGACACACATAGCTAGGAAACAAGAGAAAAATGAGGCTTCGCAGCGGAGCTCTTGCTCTGCTTTTGCTCCTGTTCGTCCACGCTGGAGGCCAGGAGCAGCGAGCAGCGGAGGCCCGCGGGGATGCGTTCGTGAGGGTCCTGGGCACCCGCTTCGTGCACAACGGCAAGCCGCTCTTCGTCAGCGGGTTCAACACCTACTGGCTCATGAACTTGGGCGCCGACCAAGCGTAGAGGGCAAGGTCACCTCGGCGCTGAGCCAGGCCGCCAGCGCCGGCCTCTCTCTGGCCAGGACGTGGGCGTTCAACGACGGCAACCGCAGCAGTAGTGCACTGCAGTACTCTCCCGGCCGCTACAACGAGAAAACATTCCAGGTCACTTGGTCTTTCCCTTGTGCTAACGACGACCAAGTTTCTTGAGATATTGATGCACATGCATGCATTGCCATCTCTCTCTCTCTCTCTGCTATTCATTCACGGGTTGGATGCCGTGCTATCTGAGGCTAGGAAGCATGGGATTAAGATGATTCTGAGCCTTGTGAACTATTATCATGACTATGGAGGGAGGAAGCAGTACGTGGATTGGGCGAAGAACCAGGGGCAGAACATTCCATCTGACGATGCATTCTTCACTAACCCTGTTATCAAGGGCTTCTACATGAACCATATAAAGGTCAGAAAGAGAGACAGAGAGAATGAGAGGGAGAGTGCTGTGAACCATAGTGAATTTGTTTCATTAAAACCCATAGTAGTTTGCACCGTTTCATAAAAAACCAAGTCTGTGTTTCTTTACTTCAACTAAGTTTATAGAAATAATAAGAAGATTTATATGTCTCTAAATGCCCAATTTTGGTATGAATACTGCAAGTTACAGTCAACTTATATAATATTCTCTCTGCACAATGTTTGCACTTCAAAGAGAAACTGCCTAATAGTTTTACATTGATGGAAGACAGGCAAGAGAAGCACGAAGACGAGCAGAGAAAGGCAACAAACTGTGGATCTTATTGCTCTGCATCAGACAATTAGTCAAACAAGCTTTGTTCTAGAACTAGAAGTGTATACTTAAGGGCTCTTTACCTACTAGTATTAGCACTGTATACTACTAACAGTAATCACTTGTCTCTATCTTTCCTGCTAGTTCGAGCACACTTCTTACAAATCTGCTCATATTTTTTTTCATGAATCGATCAAAAGGCCATTCTGACGAGGGTGAACACGTTGACCGGTGTGGCCTACAAGGACGACCCAACGATCATGGCGTGGGAGCTGATGAATGAGCCCCGTTGCCAGTGCGACGTGACCTGCCCCACCATTTTCCAGTCGTGGATCACGGAGATGGCAGCGCACGTGAAGTCCATCGACGGCAACCACCTGTTGGACGCCGGCCTGGAGGGCTTCTACGGCTTGTTGCCACCACTGTCCCGCAGCTCCATGAACCCGCTGCGGCACGACAAGATGGGCATCGACTTCATCGCCAACAACCAGGTGCCCGGTGTAAACGTGGAAGAGATTGGGAAAGCACAGCGCACACAATGACGGCGGCCTTCAGTTTCATTATATATATATGGTGTACAGGTTAGAATGGGAAATAATCCCAATAAACAAGGAAAGATAAAATCGATCCTAATAAACAAGGAAGCATACAAATTACATATGTATTTCCATTAACACCCCCAGCAATCGTAGCATGAGGTTCCCGAGTGCAAAGGCTGGACCGAAACTCCTGGAAGAGCTGAATCGGGAGACCTTTGGTCATGATATCCATGAACTGATATCTCAAGGGGACATGTAGAACCCGTGATTCTGGCCAAAAGAAACCTTCTCATGCACAAAATGAATATCGATCTCAATATGTTTTGCGCGTCGATGGTGGACCGGGTAAGAGATCATGTGCACCGCACTCACATTGTCGCAGTAGACAATGGTGGCACTATGAAGAGGATGATGAAGATCCTGCAGCAATCGACAAAACCAACAACACTCGGCAACAAGCGGTGTGCTACTGCTCGATATTCGCCTCTGCAGAGAGCGGGAAACCGTAGTCCGACGCTTGGAAGACCAGGAGACAAGGTTATCACCAAGGTAAATGCTGTAGCCAGAGGTGGAGCGACGAGAGTCAGGACAACCAGCCCAATCCATATCCGAGTATGCTGTGAGAGACATTAGTGGCTAGTGAGCTGAAATATGAAGGCCCATGTCCAGAGTACCTTGAACATAACGCAGAATGCGTCCGATGAAGTGGAGGTGCGGTTCCCTAGGATCATGCATGTAGAGGTAGACTTGTTGAAACAGCATATGTAAGGTCTGGTCGGAAGTTAGAGTGAGATATTGTAGCGCCCAGGAGACTGCGATACTCAGAGGATCAGCGACTAGCATATTTGGCGCTGGGAGAGAGTCAACCCATCAGCAGAGCGACAGACATTAATGCCAAGAAAAATGGAGATCACCGAGATCGGTCATAGAGAACTCCGAACATAAACGACCAATAATGTCCTCAAGGAGTTCTGTGGAGGAAGCTGTCAAAATGATATCATCGACATAGAGCAAGACGTAGGCATGTGCAGAGCCATGCTAAAGAACAAATAGGGATGCATCTCGATGGAGAGGCAACAAAACCCAAGGTGCGGATGTAAGTAGCGAACCATCGGTACCAGCCTCAAGGGGCTTGTTTCAAACCATAGAGCGACTTCTACAAAGCATACACACATGATCGGGATGAGCAACGTCAATGAATCTAGATGGTTGTTGACAATAAACTATCTCAGAAATATTCCCATGAAGAAATGCATTTTTGACATCCAGCTGATGAATGGGCCAAAACTGAGAAATTGTGATGCTCAGAACAGTGCGGATGGTGGCGGCTTGACAACCGGACTCAAGGTCTCATCAAAATCAAGATCTTGGACGCCGCTGCGAATAACCACGGACAACCCAACGAGCCTTAGAAGCGAGCCAATGAAGCATCGAAATGAAACTTGTGTTTAAAATCCATTTACCTATAACAATGTTGGCACCCACCGGTTTGGGCACGAGAGTCCGGTGGAGTTGCTGATGAGAGCATCATACTTGTCTTGCATAGCCTTTGACGCCAATGACGGTCCACAAGAGATGATCTCATGAGGTCATAGGGATGGGGAGACACCAGAGTGGCTAGCGTGGAGGTTTAGTCGATCAATCGGCTTCACGATGCCGTCTTTGGGAGCGTCATCATGCAATGCATAGCCGGCAAAGTGGAGGCGGCGGAGGTGCTGGGGTCATTGCAGAGGGCGCCGTGTGCACACAATCGACCACCCGAGGAGGCGGGTCCAAGACGAGGTCGCACGTCGTGGCGCTGGAGTCGCGCTTGGTGGAGCGGATCTTTCGTGGACGTGGTCGCGCCCGAGTGGCGTCAACTTGACGTGAGCAAGGAGAGGCACCAGGTCGTCGGCAGCAGGGAAAGAAATATCCTCTGGAGTACCTGTAGTAGAAGACAGGGAGTTCATCCTGGTGGACATGTCAGTTAGATCATAGAGGAAATCAAGGGAGGTGATATTGGTGGGAGGGAATGACACGGCGAATGGAAAAATAGACTCATCAAAAATGATGTGCCGAGAAGTAATGACTCGTCATGTGAGCGGATTGTAGCACCGGTAGCCTTTGTGTTCGAGTGGATAACCAAGGAAAACACTGGCTGCTGAGCGGGGGGATAATTTGTGGTCGGTAGTGGATGCTAAATTGGGATAACAAAGGCAGCCGAAAACATGAAGTATATTATTAAGAGAGAAGTTGGATGAAGGATTCGATAAACAAGACGATCCCACACGTGTGACGGGCAATGAGGAACCGTTGCCCATGGTCACGGACAGTGTGGGAGAGGGAGGGTACGAGGAGTGTAGGATACCTGCATCAGATGCCATGTGGAAGGAAGCACCTGAGTCGATGATCCAGTCATCTGTAGAGGAATTCTGCATGGCGTTGAGGGCCACAATCAGCGCAGAGGTCTTCCACTACTGCGCGCTAGAGGAGTCGGTGGTGGACATCTATGCGGGGGCGAATGTCGTGTAGGCCTGCGTGGGGGCAGGAGCAGGGCGCGGGCCTAAGACGCCGGGGGTGGAGTTGCCACGACTACGACCAGCAGCATGCCCCGGAGGAGGAGAGGCGACGCTGCTAGTAGGGAACCCAGGCGCGAACACCATCGATTGAAGACCCCAAGGGGTCATGTAGATGCACGGGCTAGTGGAAGGGGTAGGCCCACCGGGGCGGTTTGGCAGCGGCGCACCACCCGATGGCGGTCCACGGGGCTTGCCACGATTGCCCTTGCCGCGATCACGACCTCCATTAGGCGGCGGGGCAGGTGTGTCGGAGGAGGGCACTGCGTAGAACAGAGAGCCGGACAATGACAAGGTAGGGCGGCCCTTCTTGTGCGACTGCTCACTGGTGAGGAGCAAGTTGCGAGTCCTGGTGAAGGATGGCAGGGGTTTGGTGAAGGCGATGATGTCGGCGGCAGTGCGTAAGTCATCGTTCAAGCCGTGGAGAGTGGTGAGGACGAGGTCCAACTCCTGGACGGGGTGACCAATGGCACGCAGGGCGTCGGCGGTTGTCTTCTGGCATGCACAGTAGTTGGTGATCGATGACCTACCTTGCGTGGTGCTGTGGAACTCGTTGCGCATGAAGATCGCATGGGAGGCCTGATTGGCGGTGAAGTGGCTGGCGATGCGCACCCAGAGTTCATGGGTGGATTACTCGTCCTCGACGGAGACATCCAGAACATCGTCGACAACGAAGGTGAAGAGCCATGTCCGTACTGTGTGGTCCTGCTGCGCCCAGAGCGGATCGTCCGAGCGATCAGGGGAGCCATCGATGTGGTCCAGGACCTCGAACTTACCGCAGGCAGCCCGGAACTTGGTGGACCAACGAGAGTAGTTACCGACCTTGAAGCTGAGGGTGACCGGCATGTGATTCTTGATGTTGGCAACGAAGAGGGCAGCGGTGACCGAGGCGGAGAGATCGGCAGCTACGGTGTGGCCAGGCATGGCGCTGGTCGCGCTCTCGCTCATGGAGGATGAGCAAGAGCTGGACGTAGCAGCCAGCTCGGTCGTCATGGCGATTAACAGCGGTGGCACTGGGAGGAGGTGGGTCTAGGAGGCCTAGGATTGGAAACCAGCGAATGATACCATGTAAACATCGAAAAGAGATTGGGAAAGCATAGCACACACAATCACGGCGGCCTTTAGTTTCATTATATATATATATATGGTGTACTAGTTGTTAGGATTGATCTCCCACTAGTTAGGCCCAACGGCCTAACTGGGCCTTGTCCTCGCGCCCTGATCGGGGGCGCCCAACCCTACATGGTTGGTGGGCCCCCATCGCACAGCACTATAAAGGAAAGGTGGGGGCCGGGGCTCGCAGTACGAGGTTCACCGCGCCGCCAGTCACCCCACCGATATCCTATCCCTAGACCCGATCTTGAGAAGGGGCGCTGCCAGCGACGGGAAGCACCACCGACGCCGGCAATGCCACCCAACGCGCACGCCACCACCGAGGATGCCACACCGACTCCCTCTCCACTAACGCCGCTGCCGGCGTAGCAGATGGCGTCTGGTCAACGAAACCCTACCAAGCTTCGGACAACTATGGCATTTGATGGTTTGCAACCTATCACCCTTTCTCTCTGCTCTCTGTGATCCCGAACATCTATTACTACTATGCTAAGTATCCCGATCCGATGAATATACCTAAAACGAAACCTAACAATGGTACTAGAGCCACGGTTCAACAAGAAATCAGATCGGTAAGTGAAACCGACCGATCCGATGCGGATCGGGAAAGAAAATAGAAAACCGAACCCTAAGACCTAACCCTAATTCCCCAAATCAAATCAAGAAGGATTGAAGAAGGGAAAAGGGAGGGTCGGATTCTCGAGAACCCTAGACACAAACCGAAAAGAGAGAAAAGGGAAGAAGAAAGAAGAAGGGTGAACCCTAACCCTAATCCCGCTTTTTCCATTCGGATGAACGAAAAGAAAGAAATAAAAAGCAAAGAAAACGAATCGGCAAGAACAAACCTTAACCCTAACCCTAGTTTTTCCCCATTCGGATAAACCCGAAAAGAACAACTCAAAAGAAAGAAAGGGGAAAGTAGGGCTAGGGTTAGAGAAGCGCTCGGATGAACTTTTCACGGAAGGAAGAAGAAGAGTCGCATCGTTTTTTTTTTCACCGGCGCAGGAGAAGAAGAAGCGCCGATTTGGCTCGCCGCTTTTGCTGGATTAGCTCGGCCAAGAAGCGCCATGCCGCTGCTCGGCGGGCGCGTGCTCACCCATTGGGGAGCACGCGCGCCGGCGAGGGGGCCGGCGACGGCGCCATGGGAGCGCCCGTTCCTTCGCTCTCGGTCACTCGGTTGCGCTGCGACTGAGAAAGGAGAAGAGAGAGAGCAGTGAGGCGAAGAGAGAGAGAGAGACCGAATGAAATGACCTAGGGTTTGCTCAATCGGGCGCGGCGTTGCGGGTTTTATACTCGGTGAACGCGGCGCCTTAGCCGTCGGATCGAGACGGACGC